TATTTGGCTGTGTATTCTATTTAGCGCCTTTCGCGGAAAGCAGCCTCCGCTAAATCAAGTACATCGCTAAATGTTTTATGGATATATGTTCATGTAAAGCACACTCAAAAAGCGCTAAATCAAATCTATGCTTACTGGTTGAAAATTCAATTTCCACCAAACATCGTACTCGCTAAAAGAAAATACATTTACAGTATTTTTAAACCTCTTTATATTTTAAAATTTATATTGAGCAATTGTAGCATCAAAAGAATCAATGTGTCATCGTACATATGTAACTGTGACCTTTGGTTGAAAGATATTTGGATACGGTTATGTTTTTTTCATTTTATTATTATGTTAGCCATAATTATGACACTAGCCACAATAGCAACATGAAGCATTTGGGAAAAAAATGATTTTCCTTACAGGAATAAAATGAATTTCGCAGGTGAGGCTATATGTATAGGCGTTTTTTATATCAATGAGCCTTAGAGGTGTAATGGGCTATATATAGATAGATATAAACATATGTTACGTTGCATGTTATCACACAACAGTATCAGATACATGTATGTGAGATTGTTGCATTTAGATATGGTTTAATAGAGGTATTTTTACATTAATTTACATTTTGCATGAGAGACACCTTTTCAATAGTTTGTGCATAATAATCATCCTCATATAAATACTTTGCTCAAGATGTAAGTATAAAAATCATATAGAATCATAATCGGCAAGTGCTTTAGCTTTTGCCTTTTTCTTCAGTGATAGCATTGCTTCTGTAATTGTAGAGACTTAAACTTTTGTTACTTTAAGAGTGATATAACTCCTGCAACTGAGGTTATAGTATACTTTTTCTCAAGATATCAAAAACTGGGTGGATTGCTATTAGCTATAACCTCTACAAATGTTGCCTTCCTTGCTTCTGGATATATTTTTGGTTTACTTTGACCAGTTCAAAATCACAGGGGGTCACAACCAACTATGGAATGTGGCGTATGGAAAATCCGTAGTTCTAAGTTCTGGACATGGAAGTAGAGGATATCCCGGATCAAAAGCAGTCAACGGTCTTCTTACAGATTTCACGCACACAAATGAGGAGAAAAGGCCCTATCTTGTGATTGATCTGGGGAGAAACTACAAAATACATGAAATAGAAGTCTTTGCTATAACCGACTGTTGTGCTAATTGTATGTATTCAAAGCTGAAATTGACATTAAAATAGATTGCTCACATTTATTTACTTTTCTGATTATTTTATGTATGGGTGTTGTTCATTAAAAAAGAGATGATGAGGCATTTACATTTGAAGGGTAAACTTTTTTAACGTTTTTTTTTTTTTAAAGTTATTATTCTTCTATTTCTTTAAAGTATATTATTTGCTTCAATATTTGAAAATTGTCTCTAACAGTGCCTATGCTTTTGATAAATATTTTATTTTGCAAAGAATATGCTCAGTAAGAATTAAAGTAAGGAAATTCTCCTGATATATGCTATATGTTTAATAATGAAATACATGTATATTTTTCAATTAATATATCTGGCCAGCTTCACGACCTAGACGTTAAAGTGGGGAAAAACGTATACATTATGCATCTTTGTGGCCATTATACAGGATCTACAAAACGTGCACAGAGGATTGCCGTGTGGTGTCCCTCTAATACAGTGGGTCGATATGTTAAAATACAGATTGTTGCAGGGCTGTCGAGCGCTCTTACTCCAGCAGAAGTTCTTGTATGGGGTCATTTGTAATTGATATAATACTGTACTTTATTGTTAATAAATACTGCTAACATGAGGGGACATTTGGTTACTGTTTCGATTTTATGTCTTTACCTTTATCAACCAATTGCTTACATGAAATACGACTAAATATTATAAAAATAGTTCTGAAAAGTATGAAGCATCATCTCTTAAACACAAATGTGTCTGATCAAAGAGCTAGGTTCACTTTATACATAAAATAGCCCTGTCTATATGACAATTAACTGACCAAGTCATGATGTACCATTTCAAACATCACTATGAAGTAAACACTGAGTACTTTCATTTCCTATAGAAAGTTTCCGCTGAGAGTCCAAGGTATAAGAATACATGCTCTGTGAAATTGCAGTGTTCTTGAATTTTAAGCAAAATGAGTGTGTGTGAGTACTTTCAGCAAAGAAATAAAATATGAGCTCACCCCTCGATCTAAAAATGGAACATGGACTATAATCTCCTGGAACAGTTCTTTTATTATATAATTCAACATTTTGGATCATGCAGAGGTCGAGGGCTATGCAAAATATTGAAAAACATCTTAAATTTTTAGCAATTTTTAAAGAATTTTTTCAGAAATTGAGGATAAAAACGCAATTCTTGACGTTATTATTCATGAACTAGCGAGAGAAATACGTCATTTTTTTTACAGATAAGCAGGGTCCAAGTGAAATTTAATATATTTTCATCTTAAACAGAACAGTTGTGATTTTTTCAAAAATTTACTCGGGCAAAATAGGCCCAAAAAGAACCTTGTTCTTTTAAAAGGTCAAAATTGTTTTCAACGGTGAAAGAGCGTATATATTAAAAATTGAAATGGTTGAAAATACCCCTGTGTACAGTTTATATGTATACAATTATGCATTTCTCTTTTCTTTATATTGAAAATATTTTTTTGTGTAAAAGGACAAATTTTATGCTGATTTTCAAAATATTTTTGTCAAAATATTTATAAATTTCAATGAAGGTTCATATTTGTGTCAAATAAATGAATATTAACCAGATTTATAGCTTACTTGACAGGCACTTAAATTATCATCAGCTGTGCGTACAGCTGTGCAAAAATTCTAATGTCATGTTACAGAATCTTGCTTAAATATAGGTATATGTCTGCTCATCTGGCAATGTTAAGACATCACTGGATGGTTTTGTTTTAACACACCTTCCAGCATGAAGACCAGCCAGTTGCCTCATCTGTCCTGATATTGTTAAAGGTAAGTGCCCTCTCAGCAAAGGATTTGAAAATGCAAAGTCTTGCTCATCAATTCAAAATTTCTTTTTACCAATAGGATATTTATTTGAATTTCTGTGGATTTAAAAATCTAATGGTATGGATTAAGAAAAAAAAAACAAAAAAATATTTGAATCAAAATTATTTTTATTTCAGTCCATTGTGACAGTGAAAAGACATGGCTCTAAATTACCGGGATACTGCATCAAAGATCGATCCAGGTTATAAATCTGAGTAAAACGATAAAACATCATTCGGAGCTACATATGTCACTGTCTTAACAATTTGTCTGCATATGTAACTAACAAAGGACAGTGACCAGTTGTTCCTTTGATATCAGAGATACCGAACATAGTCACCAATAATAGGAATGTATGTATTGGTGGCTATATTGGCCAAAAATTGTCACTTTTTAATCTGCTGTTTGCAGACTCAACTGCCCACCTTACCTTAATTACAAGAGGTGAGAGTTGGCTTTTTGGATTGTATGCTGTTTTTCCCAAGAAATATGGATATTCTGACTGCAATCCAACTAATTTTATCAAATCAAGAGAATCCCTGAATCCCTTTCTAAAACTACAATGCCATCTTTTTGCCCCATTAAACAGCCCATTGCCCTCCCCAATTGCAAGAAGATATTTGTTTAAGATAGCAGCGTCATTATTTTTGCCATCTGCCAGATACGGTCCAAGAATATCAATAATATTTTCGATTCATGTATACTCCTTTTTAAAACAGAAATTACTCACGAAATTGAAGGAAACACAAAAATTAATTTCATCAATAGCAAATTGCTTGTTGTTTTCCATCGAAAAAATGCCAGTGTAAATATATTGTTTAGAACATTGTGCGTAAATAACGACGCCGTCAACGGTAAACATGATCTCAATCCCAAATTAACATGATCCATTTAATTATACGCAGAAAAAGGACTTAAACGTTGAAATTAGTCACACCTCCCAACCTTATCAATATTCAGGGTCATGAACCCAAGGGAGCATTCATTGCAACAGATAATTATTTCCACAAAGAGAGACAACTCAAGAATTTTTTAATGGTATAGTCAATTTCTTTTATCAATTTAGATCCATCAAGTCTGAAATTTGTAAAGTGTTATTAATTGTAAAAAAAAAAAAAGAAAAAAGGAAAGAAATTATTATGGTTTCATATCCTTTATTTAATTAATCAGGATCACATCCAATCGATGTTTATGTTGAGTTAGTATAAACATAACAACAACACAGTCTATCTAATTTCACTATACATGAATGTGTAACTTAATTTCCATTTAATAAATATCCTTATTTTCAAGTATACAGTATTTGATTTCACATGTATCTGGTAGATGTAAATATTTCTGGAAGGTATCTACCTACAAAATTACATTCAATTAATATTTGGTTAAAGTTAAATTATTTAACAAAAAATGTACATACAGGTATGTACAAAATTTATAACTCAGGACTCGTATATATAAAAAAAAATGGCAATGTGAACAAACATCATGTATTCATTTTTATTTACAAGAAATGAACTCCTACAGGTTGACAGACAATGGAATGTTGTACAACAAATGAAGTTGTTAATTACAGAGCATATGTTATAATAAAAATTAAATTGTTTAACTATGAAGAATAAATTTTTAAATAATATCTAGATATCCTTCACAAGCTCCCTAAATTTTAAACAACTTATAATAAACAAAACTAAATACATGTACATGTACCTACTGAATTCTAGTTTTTTGTTTTCCTTCCTATTTAAACAGATTCAAGTTCCATTTTTTTTAAATAATATTAAAACCTTAATAAAAGCCACTGAAAGACTAACATTGTGTTTCTTTCTTTTACTGATAATCTGTTTTAAAATACATGTGTAATTAAAATACGTAATACATGTATATTAGACATGCAGTACCAGAGAGAGATAGTTATAGCCCCCTATTTTTTTCTAAACATATTCTACTACTGTTATATAATTGAATAAAATATGAAGACAGAAGTTTTATGTTACATAATATTTTGTAAACTATGGACTCTCTGAATAGGCAAATTCTTCTTTTCTTAGGAAGGGATCCTCAAATGATGTTTGGACACTTCTTAAGAATAGAAAAGATTCATCCCAATCCTCATGAATTCAGCAATCATTTGTTACATTGCCTGGAAAATATAAATGCAATAATATATAAGATTGCTTTATTTATAATGCATCATCCATTAATTTGAATCAATATAATACAGTCAAGCCTTATTATCTTGAACTCAATGGGACCGATGAAAAACTTTGAGATATTCAAGGGGTTGAGAGCTTGAGGGTAACATACAAAGAAGACAAATGTGGTTCAAGGGACTTCAAAATGACTTTGACATCTCCATAGTGATCAAGATATCACTCAGTGTTCGAGATACCAAAGTTGAACCCTAAACTGAGTATAAAAAAAATCATATTATCATATTAGTAACAGCGTGCCCCTTTGTTAGATCAAGCACGCTTAAGTTTCATATGTTGAACACCATATTTCTCATTGACTGGATGTTAAATTTCATTGAAATGAATACTACTTTGCATATGAAATAGAGAATCCAGCAACACACTGATAATACTGAGCAGTCGCATTGAATGATTGTTTACAATGACAGCATTTGTAATAAGCAACAACACATGGTCAGTCAAAACCATTGTCGGCTTCTCTGTTCATGTGCAAAATAGTATTTCTTATTATTGAAATTAAATGTCAAATCAATGAAAAATATGGTGATCAACATGGGAAACTGCATGCTTTATCAAACAAAGTTACATGCTGTTATTGGAATAGTAGTATATGCCATATATAGATGCAAAATCAATTTATTATTATCCAGTTTAAGTATTTCATTGAGGGAGTTAGCAAGATTCCAGTTCCCCAAGGCCAGGACTACTTCCCACGGCGAAGCCGAGGGAAATAGTCCTAGTCGAGGGGAACTGGAATTTTGCTAACTCCCTCAATGATATACTTTTAACTGTTTTATTATACCGATACAAACGTAAAATTTAGAGGATTCAGATAGCGTGATTTCAAAGCAGGGATTAGCTCACTGAACTAACACATGGGATTAGTCCATTCACATATACCAATGTTAAAGTAAAACCTAGAGGATTATGGATAACCGGGAATTAGCTTTCGAAGCAGGGATTAGCTCACTTGACTAACACTTGGGGATTAGTCCATAGTCCATTCTTAACAATTTCTATGGAAATAGTCACATCTAACGATCTAATGTTATACAGGGAAAAAATCAGTAGAGGTATAATAATGTTCATAAATAATATGCATGAGAAAAAAATTTGTACAAAATAAACCAATTAAATATAAATAAATCATATGCATTTCCAAGTGTTAGCAAATCATTTATCTAGGTAATAATGATGAATGTCAACATACCCCAGGTAGTCGAAATTGTTTGATTTTAAGATACTGAAGTTTAGCTGTACTTAATTAGACAGCATTATATTCAAATGTTTCTCAACAACACACATTTTTCACGTGTTGTAATGATAGGAGTTAAGCCCCTTTTCTATGCCCCAAAATATTGTTTTCCTTTCTCTGATATTTGTAGATATTTTAACCACATACAGTTTGTGAGCTCTGTTGATTATTCATAACCAGCTATTTTAAGTTGCAACTAGTTTGATGTTTAAAGATTAATTGAAAGACAGAAAAATAAAAATCAAACTTAAGTCTCCTTAAAATTGGAAATAAAATTATGAAAACTTATTTTAGCCCCCTCTTAGCCTAAGATCCATGAAATGAACAAAAAGGATTTTCCAATATTTACATAAGATCCCCCCCCCCTCTCCTTAACTATTTCCAGATAAATATTTTACCCCTAATTATGGCCCATCCTTAACCCTGGATTATGGGATTCTTTACTAAGATGAATTTATTCATGCATAATAATATGATTTATGGTGGGCCTGACTTTTAAAAGGCTTTTACCCTAAATATTTCAGAATAAACTTTGATTCCCCACTGTGGCCCTACACTACCCACAGGGAATATGGTTCGAAAAAATCTGAATCTGCTCTGCACTATCTCAGAGGATGCTAGCAAGATAATATGAGTATAATGACTTATCATGACCTGTCTGTTCTTGACAAGAATTAAGACTTTAACAAGAGGCCCATGTTTTCACCTGAGCACATCGGCTAGGAAAAAGCACAAATCAGTTCAGTATTGAAAAGTTTACAAGGGGGGGGGGGGGATTTTATACTACTAAACTACTTGAGGTTGCCTCAATATCCATATAGCATATAACTTTGCTGTTCTTGAGAAGAAGATTTTAAAAGATTTTTCTATATATTTTTATGTAAAATTTGATTGGCCATTATGACCCCACCTTATTCCGAGGGGTCATGATTTGAACAAACTTGAATCTACACTACCTTGACTAACACTTGGGGATGCATGCTTCCATATACATATCACCAATCATGGCTTTACTGTTCATGAGAAGATGATTTTTAAGAATTTTTCCTATATATTTCTATGTAAAACTTTGACTGGCTTTATTATGGCCCCACCCTACCCCCTGGGGTTATGATTTGAACAAATCTGAATCTACACTACCTGAGGATGCTTCCATATGAAAATCATCAATCATGGCTATGCTGTTCTTGAGAAGAAGATTTTTTAGAATTTTTCCTATATATTTCTATGTAAAACTTTGATCGGTTATTATGGCCCCACCCTACCCCTGGGGATTTGAACAAACCTGAATCTAAATTTTGTCAAGCAGCTTTCACTTAAATTTAATTTTTTTTTTCTAGCCCTCCGGTTCTTGAGAAGAAGATTTTTAAATACAGCCAATTTTCACTATTTCTTAGTTATCTCCCCTTGAAAGAGGGTGTGGCCCTTCATTTGAACAAACTTGAATCCCCTTTACCCAAGGATAATCTGTGCCAAGTTTGTTTGAAATTGGCCCAGTGGTTCTTGAGAAGAAGATGAAAATGTGAAAAGTTTACAATGACAACAACGACAGACTACAGACAAATTTTCATCAGAAAAGCTACCTTGAGCCACAGGGACTTGAGACAATCTTAGCAAAATCGGGTATATAGCTATAGTATAATAGGGGAGCCCTTTTATACTATATACCCGATTTTGCTAAGATTGTCTCAAGTCCCTATGCCTTGAGCCTTCGACTCAGTTTAGCTAAAAAAAAAATTCATTTTGTTTTTTTCTGACTGGCAAAATTACAATTGTTCTTTCTATTTAATTGCTATAATCTATTTACATCAATAACATATCATCACCACTTATAAACATACCTTCTCTTTGGACCTAACCTCCTTTGTTATTCTCATGGTTGATGCTTGCATCAGATAAATTGTTCTGTTACAGCTGAAATACAAATATGAATATTACATTAATACAATCCTCTTAACTTAATTTGTACAAATAAAATATATATGCATGTATTTGCAGTTAGATCACCAAGAGAACTGCATGAATGAACAATACTGACAAATTGCATTGCACTACTTGCAAATCAAACAAATACATGTATGTAAATCATTTTAAGTGTGCAGAATATGCTGAATCATGTATTGGTATAATTTGCAGTTCAAAAAAATTGTTTGCATAAACATACAGCCAAGTGTGTTTTACAGTTTATTTCTATTTTTTAAAAATCTCATTTAATGGTAAATTTCTCTGCATATAAACTCACTGCAATGCAGCATGATGTGATTAACCTTTGTGCATTTTTTGACCCATTCTGTATTACCGAGGTATCTGCTGAAAGAGAAAAAAAAACAAAATGTGAATAAATCATTTGAACAAAGTTAAAAAAGTAACGGATGCATGATTTTCAATTATCAAAAGCCCTCCCTCTCTCTATCTCTCTGTCTGACAAATTATCCACAGGATTTTTTTACATAGATACACATGTATAACAGATATTGGTGCAACTGAGCAAAATTAAAATATCCTTTCTTTGTTTCTTCCAATCAGGCATAATAACTAAATACATGTAATAATGTCACATATAATATGTTATAAAATTATCCTTACAATGCTCACAATAGGCAAATCTTGAACTTTCATGTCATCACTGTCTTCAGAATATCCTGCAAGAAACGTACATTCCAAATAATAATTTGATTAGATTTATTTATTTTTATACATGTATTTGGTATTTTTTAGAATGAAATTCTCATTTATGATTTATGTGCATTACAGCACCATGCACATGGAAGTTCATTTTCAAATTCAACCAACATGTCATTCTTAAAAAATCAAAAAAGATAAATCTGTAAAGCCCATTTATTTTTTTTTAATGAAATAAAATTATTTTCTTGTGTGTGTAATTTGTGTGGGATCATCACTGGTGCGGATGGACATATCATTAAAAAAAAACATACAAAAAAAAGCACAGATTGTTGCAAAAGCCAACTTACTGAATTATAATAAGTTACAAATTTACAATGAAGGGCTCGAAATAATTAATGGCCTACTGGGCTGGGGCCAATTAATGTATTTTTAATTTAGGCTAGTACATTGTGAGGGCATGTGTCCATTGGGTCATTGTTTATTATGTATACATGTAACAAAATTCATTTATGGTTGGGATAGTAACTAAACTTGTCAGGCAAAGTTCTGTCTTTTCTTGTTTTGTTAAATTAAACTACTAAGTATCACAATATAAACAAAAAATGTATCACTATTATTTTCTTTATGGTTTTGGGCCAGTCTTTTTAAAATCTACTGGCCCTGTGGGACAGTTGAAGTACTCAGAGCTGACCAGGAAAAAATTTAAGGTGATAGCCCTAGAGTGACCAGTGAAAGAAAATAATTATTTTTAGCCCTGAAATGATGTCACATTTTTTATGCTACATAAATAACATAATATAGATTTTCTAAATTTAATATTTTTTTTATTTCTTCATGACTTTATATTATTAATTGTGTGTGTTTTTTTTCATACCGTTTTATGGAGAAGGCTGTTCAACATGTACTTAAACCTGAAATAGACAAAGCAAAAAATTAGTTACTTTTAATATTAACATATAACAATCAATTTACCATATGTAAATTAATTATATATTCTCTCAAACAAAAATGCAAAACATCACTGTAAATTGTGTTTACATTGACAGAGGTCTTAAATAAATTATTTCAATATTACAGATTGATGCCTGCAATGTTACTGTATATTATTTATACTATTTCATTTGTTAGTTTGGGATGGACAATTTTTTATAAGAAAAAAAAACCCACTAACTTAAAGTACACTGTATTTATAGTTGAAAGTAGTAAACATGCAAGAAATGTTCCAGGATATCATAAACTGCATATGTAAAGTTTGGGTATATTAAATTAATATTCATGTCTGTAAAGTCTGATATGTGTGAGAACTGCATGGCTGCGTCTGTTCTCCCTAGCTAGCTTAATTAATCTCACCTTTTGCTTGACCCACTGTATTATATGTATATATGTTTTATATGTTTATGTACCTCATGTAACCATTTACATGGTTTTTGAGTGAATAAATTGAATTGAATTGAATTGCATCATCTGATCATAAATTCTGTGATAAATAAGAGAAGTAGGAAACATTTTCTTATCATTAGGTTCTATTGAAAACAGCATAATTGGTATAAATAACTGACAATATTAAAAGTGCAAAATGTAAACAAATTTAAACACCTTTACATATGTAGAGGAAATTCGGCAGAGCTTGTGTGCATGTACTATGGTATGGATAGAATTAAATTTTAGTCTCTTGGTGTTAAAAAAGACACAAGGTTCTCACAGATCACTGGGCAATCTCTGAATACACACAGCTTGTGTAGGAACGGACTATAGCACACCTACATTTTCTCTTCATTTCAAAACATGCTTTTACAGCATTTTACAAACTTGCCCTTAAATATTTAGCCATTTTGTGCTACAGGTAATCGAAAAAATAAATCGACTTCTACTTACGAGTGCTTTTGTTTCCTAAACCAGTGTATGTGTGTTCATCTTTACCGACACAACTACTCCCTTGCACGTGGAAAAATGTTTACAAAATCGAGAGGTGCAGTTTTGACACTTTCATGTACAATAGCACGTGACAGAACGAGAAACTTCATACATACTTTCACTTTTCATGTAAAGAAACGTTTGTTTTTCAACTTTATGCAATTTAAAAACCTTGCAAATCGAGAAAATATAAAGTTTTACCTCTTTTTTCAAGTTGAATATTTCTCTCGATTTTCACCTCTCGCGTGTTGGTCTCATCTAATTCTCGAGAGTTCTCGCAATGAAAGCTGTTCGGACGTTTACGGATTTTGTTAATATTTTATGACGTTTATCTTCGAAAAGTTCCGATTTATGCAAATAAGGTAAGGAGGTGTGTAGTGATAAAATTGCATATATCGAAATTAATGTACAACTATTTCCTATTTATAATACTTTTCTAACACTTAACAGATAAACAATTTATTGAGAACTTATTTCTGAAAAAAATATTGAAAAGCAAGGATGAATCATAAGTCACTAATTAAATCATATGACCTTAATGAATAACAATTCTAAATTCATGCCACATATATACTTAAGTTTCTTCCTTGATCAGAGGTTATTCTTGGGGGATAGAGGGTCTCATGAAGGAGCACATCCTTTCAAAATAAAAAAAAATACAGAAAGCAGATGGGATGGGTGATGTTGAAGGAAATATCAACAGTTCAAAGCCAGTTATATGTAACTTAAGATCAAAGCCACAAATATGTAACTCAGAATCACAACCAATCATGTGGAACTCATGATCAGACCGTGAAATAGAACTTAAGATTATAGCCAGTTTTATAGAACTCGAAATCATAGTCATTCATAATTATAAAAATTAAGACCAAATTCAGGCATATAAAATTCAAGATTATATAAATTTAAGATCAAAGCAAGTCAAGTAAATTTTGTTCTAAATGAACTATTCACAGAAAATTTTAGATCATAATCATTCATACAAACTGAAAATCATTGTCACACAACAGGTATTATGATCATCACCAGTCATATAAAACTTAAGCTCAGATAGACATATAGAATTTAAGATCTTATCTAATCATGCAGAGCCTAAGCTCATATAGTCATAAAAAGATTTTTTAAAACATAGTTCAATCATATAGAACTTTATATCATAGTAAATCAAATTAATTGTGAAAATAGCCAGTCAGGTAAAACTGAATGTCATAGCCAGTCATATGATATGACCAATGTACTTAACTTCAGGAATTCCAATGTTGCATTTAGTTTTTGTTTATTCCTTGATCTTTGTAATACTTTTCTCAGTCTCTCCTAGTGCTGAGATTATTTTCCTAACTAAAATATCATCCATGATAATTTCACAGCCATCAATATCTTCAAATAATTGTGACGCGGTTCTCTGGAATATCTCTGGAACAGAACTTATTCCCTTTGGCATTCTTAGATATTTATATCTCCTGAATGGTGTGTTGAACGTGGTCAACTTTAAACTCTCCTCATCAAACTAGTTATGCCAGAATCAGGAAGTAGCATCCAGGGTACTGAATACAGAAGCTTCATCTAAAATGTTCTCTCCTCAATGCTTTATTGAGATCTCGGGGTCTAGACAGATACGCAATTTATTAGGTTTTTCCACAACAACCGTAGAATTGGCCCATTCTGTAGGCTGTTGAATTTTCTAAATTATTTTCTGTTTCTCCATGCGGTCTTCTTCAGTTTTGCCTCTCTGTTTGATTGTGAAAGGTGCCTTTCTAGGTGTATGCACAACAGGACTTACTGATTTGTCGACTTTAATTGTACAATTTCGCATTATATTTCCAATTCCTTCAAAAGCATTATTGAATTCATCCAAGACTGTGTCTTTATTCCTCACAGTGTTAACTCTTGCGATTAAATTCATCGTGACACATGAAATCAACCCTAGCACTATTGGGACATCATCATCTACTACATGGATGTCTAGATGATAAAATTTGCCTTTGTATGTTCCAGTAAGCACTGCTTTTCCGTATGGTTTTATTTTGTGACCAGAGTAGGACACTAGCTTTGCTATGGATTTTGTCAGACTAATTTTTCCCTTGATATGGAATTAAAGGTTTTTCTTTGACATGATATTTACTTGTGTTCCTGTATCAATTTTCATCTTTAATGGCTTGTTCCCAATTCTGAGATGCACTGTCCATTTTCTTTTTGATTATTCCATGGCGACAGTGTCCACGCTGTATTTGCTGTCCGCGTCTTGATTGATTACCATATTTACTGAACACTTCTTGAATTCATGTGATTTCTGGTGCGTTGTATTCCTACGCATTTTAGAAAAAAATTATTTATTTTTTTGGCATTTGTAACATTTTTTCCAAATGCCAAATAGTTTCTTGGCTAAAGACATTTTCAGCAGTTTCGGCACTTTGATTTGGTTTCTTTTTGAACCTTTTGTTTGTGTTTCATCTTCATTGCTATCTGGTCAAAGCCCTCCGTACTTGCACCACTCTCTGTCATGAGCTTCATTTGCTTGTCTGTTGCCTCTCCCGCTCAACAAATTTCAACGATTTTCTCAAGTGTGAGCTCCGGAGTTCTTAATAACCAATCCTAACACTCTCACTCCTAATACCTCGTACGATTCTATCCCGAATTAAAGAATCCTTGATCTCGCCATATTTGCATGATTTGGCCTTGTTTTTCAAATCGATAACGTAACTGTCAATTGGCTCTGATGGTCCCTGACTTCTTGAGTTGAATATGTGACGCACAAAAAATTATGTTTTCCTTGGATCACATTTTTCAATGACTTGTTTCAGCTTAAGTTTATTTCTGGCGTCCTCAAATTCAAAAGTGTTCCACTTCTCCACAGTATCTTTGCTGATGTGATGAAGCAAAATATTTTTCATGAATTTGCCATCTTTGTCGTCCATTCCACTTGCTGTGAGAAAGATTTAAAATAATTGTTCAAATTTTCTCCAATTTTCTTTTAAATTACCTTCTAGTGAGAGACTGGTCCCGGTAGCCTAAAGCTAGTTGTAGGGCGCTCTCTTCGTGATCGGGAGGCCCTGATTCGATTCTCGTTCGCCGCGCAGCGTCAAACCTAAGATGTAAACATAGTTAGTGACAGTTCCTTTGTCAAGCAACAGGCAGTAAAAGTGAAAGTCACGGGTCTTTCGGATGAGACCTTAAAAACCGAGGCCCCGTGTCACGGTAGACGTTGGCACGATAAATAACCCTCACTCCTCAGATAAAGGCCTAAACATGAAGTCCTTCACCGGTGTATGGTGACGTATCTACATGAGTGAAAAATCCTCGAATGGGACGTAAAACAACATACAATGAATCAGTCTAGTGAGAGAACTGACGGCTGGTTAAGTTTGTACATTTTGACAAAGTGTAATGTTATCATATGAGACTGTGACTTTCATCTAACTTTTAATGTAATTATTTCTATATATCAGCATTTTAATTGCAAGCTCAGCATAGAGAGTTACAACACGTGCAGAGCACAGGAAACATATATGACTTGGAAAAGCTGAATCTGAATTTCAGTGTTGATAACCAAAGGATGACTGCACTTAACGCCGGTTTTTGGGTCTTTTTCGGTTGCCTCTGTTGCTTTTAGGCCATTATTTCCATACTGAATTGTCGACGGATTTTTTCCGTTATTTCCCGATCATGACAAGGAGCACACGGCGGGTGTGACCGGTCGGCAGGGGATGCTCATTCCTCCATGGCATCTGATCCCACCTCTGATGTTTTGGAGATCTGTGTTTGCTCTGCACCTATTTTGTAATGTTTAATGGCCTTTTGAGCTTGAATACTGTTCGTTATCTCCATATATTTCATCTAAACCTTATTTCACTTTTGTATGTTTATGAAAGAATCCTGTCAATTTGGAAGCAAATTTAATTCTATGTATGAAGTCAGTAAAAAAGTGGGCGTCCTCATTATCAATCGGAGATTCAAGAAATTGTGATGACCCCTGCCTTTGAAAACAGATTCGAACTTCGTAAATGCACACTTTCATTAAACGTTATAACATAAAGTTGTATAATGGATGTTGACCATTCTTGCTATGAAAAGAAAAATGCTTGTTTTGAAAGTTTATTTTGTCGCAAATTTCGCATGTCCTTAAGTGCAGTCATCCTTTGATTGACGCAACTTTACAATCACAAATGTCAAACGTTTATAAAGATAAAAGTTCAAAATATCATTACACACATAAACCCGATATTTTCATCTTTATTTGAGAAAACTGTTTTAGTCTCAAAAACATTTTTCATCAGTATTTCGAGTTTTTTATACATAAAAATCACAGACTAATAATCTGATATCAAAGTTAAAGTAAAATCAAAGTTATATCTTGTGTCAAAAATCTCAGACAATTCATATTTTTTCATTTAAAATTACACTTTTTCTTATTTTTCACACATCACACATTGTAATGAGAAGTTTGTTCTACAATTCATGAAGGTGCTGACTATTTATCCTGCCTACCAAGTTATTTTTGCAAGTGAAAAAACAAAAAAAAAATATCCGTCTGTTATATCAATGTTTCTTGTTTATGGCTGAGTTTCTATTAAGATACAGGCTACATTACAAGGTACCGGATAAGGGGGATTAAAATGTGCATTTTGTGCAATCTTTCCTTTTTCTTCCTGTCGCATTACATATTGTAACTTTAAGAACTTTACAAAGCATATCAGAGCAAATTTAAAAATATATAGAAATGAAAACAATATATTGTCAATATATACAATAACCAATAGATGAAGCATCTCGATTGTCAGAGGCTTTCTACGAAGGGTTGTCTCTCAAAGAGAGAACCTTTACACTGGTGAAGTTCAGAAGAGTTACCTCGGAGACTGAGGATATGTAGAATAGAGCAGCATACATCGCGAAAGGATGTGATTTGGTACAGAGTGGAAGTTATCGTGAAAGATTTAGATTGAGTACCTCAGATATCGATTTTTATGATTTGGCCTTCAGATCAAAAAGTGATCTCTCTCATGTCAATCCTTGCCGAGTTCAAGGCTACACTGTGATATTGATGGAGACCAAAGGACTGCCCCCATGGATCACAGGACTGAAGCAGATGACTCAATCGTATAATGAGCTTGTGAGATTCTCAACATTGACTATCTATCAGCAGCTATTCAGATGATGACATCAGGGTCACTTGTAACGCTGCTTTCTATATATCGAGATTTGTACGTACATCTAATGAAATCTTAAACAGAAGTCGAACATATCTGAATCACACGTCTTATAACCTGTTTAAGTTAGCTTCGAAAGTGGGCTCCTCATCCGATAGTCTGTACTTATCTATGT